GTGTGAATAAAGTAGAATGGTATTGATTCACACCAATCTATGCATCGACTGTGTGGGAGCCACTTGCAATTCCCAGCAGCACCGGAAAGCTTTGCAACAGGGAGAAATATGACCAGGCAAGTTGAGAAAATAAATTAAACTAGTGTCAACTTTTCTTGTTTCTTCCCTCATTATTAATGGATGGAATGGGGCTCGTTTATCAAGAAGAGGAAAAATTAATTGACATGGGCTTTAATGTTATTATGCCTGGCTTGTCTGGTCACATTTCTTCATTTTTAATTTTTTTTTTTTTTTTTTTACTTTTTGAAAGGCGTTTTATTACCGTTCACAGGACCAGCTGCCAAAACTATGGGTATAAACAAGAAAGCAGGTGCATAAATAATACCACAGCAGGACCGGACCTTTCTGTGTTTCAGGGCTTAAGGAACTGAAGTGTGGGGAGCGGAGCAGACGGGTCAGGTACGAGCCCTGACACGAAGGGGGAGCACAGCCTGAACTGATGTTTCCTCATTGCCATGCTGATGCTGCAGCGGGTGTCAGGATGGATGTTCCCGCCTGTCAGCACCGCCGGGGCTCGGGCAGCTCCGGCGCTGGGCCCGGTGGGATCGTGGACCCTGCAGACCCCCAGCTGCGCTCACGCCGTGTGTGCAGGGGGACTCATCCTGTGACTCGGGGTTGTTGTTGCTGAGCAGCAGGAGTGAGGTCTGAGCAGAGCTGGATCGATGTGATGTGGGCCGTGTAAATCTCCTCCTTTCTCCTCTCCATGCTCGTCTCCTGTTCTTGGGCGTTGCTGTGCGGGACAAAAGAGCCGCAGTGATCCCCCGGTGATCCCCTGGGGATCCCCAGCTTCCCAGCATCTGTTCCTGAGCTCTCTGGTGCTCTGGCTGCTCTAAGTGCAGGACGAGGCTGTCCCAGCTGCAGAGGCTCCCCAGCCTCGCTGGCAGTGTGGGCACAGCTCGGGCAGAGGGAATGCAGCTGATGAGATGAAGTGACTCGCTCCACACCATCAGGTGACCCCCAGACAGCCTGGCTGTGCCTGCTGCTGGTGAAGGTGGGTTTGACTCAGGAACCATCTGTGAGGTGGTGATGGCAGCAGTGGCACCTGTGGCACTGCCCCGGCTGTGTGGGAGTGGGCACCCCACTGTGGCAGGGTCCTGCTCTGCCTGTCGGAGCCCTGCGGGTCTCACCCCGTATTAGCCTGGCTTTCCCCTCCCTGGCTGGGATGCAATCCCCTTGTTTTCCTCCTTTCCCTGCACACATGGGCTCAGGGAGCGAGCCCTTTGCCCGGGTAAGCTGCTTTCGCGTAGCGCTGCTGACGAGTGACGTCCTCGGCGCGTGCAGCCGCAGCTGCCACACGGAGCACTGTGCAGGGCTGTGGGAACGGCCCTGCCAGCAGGGACAGGAGGTGGCTCTCGTGGCAGTGGTGTCGTCATCTCGGCTGGATTTTATACCGAGGTTGACGTAAAACCGCTCGAGTGATGGCAGAAGCGTGAAATGTAGTTGAGTGTGTAAAAAACCCAAAATACACCCCATGGGAGCGCTGACATTTGATATCTGCAGTCTGGCTTCTTAAATGTGCTTATGGCTTCTGCCTGTTCTTTTACAGTGTTTTAATATTTTTATTTTTTCCAGTCACCCTCTCTGACCACAGTTGCTCTTATTGCCGGAGTGCCATGGCAGGATGTGCTGGGCTGAGCTCTGTGGAGCTGCCTGCCCACGTCCAGCCCTTCCTTGGACACCTCCAGGGTGGTGACTCCACCACCTCCCTGGGCAGCCCCTGCCAGTGCCCTTTCCGTGAAGAAATTCTTCCTGAATTATTCTTTTTGGTATCACTGGGGTGTGTTGGAGGATGTCCCCTGCACCATGGGATGTCAGGTGTCTGGGCTGGCATCATTTTGGGGCCTGTTGGTGCACATTAACCAGCAGATGAATGGAGTGGAATGATTCCTTTTTCCCATTGGATGCCAAAGGAGGGTTTTTCACCTGAAGGTCATGGATACATGTCTCAGCTTCCTTTTATGCTGGCACTTGTCTTGGAGTCTCTTGTTTGGGGGCATCTGTTTGCCTCTTACTTTATTTTTTTTTTCCCTCTTCTTTGTCTTTTCTTTTACAGAAAAGATTATTCAAATGAATATTCAGTTTTATTCATTTGAATAAAAAACCCAACCGTTTGACTCTGTTAAATGCTTATCTCTTAAATAGAGCTTGTTAGCTTCCAATAATAGCTTCATTCAGAAGGATGCAGTATAATTTCATTTTAAAACGTGTGCTCCTTGACAACCGGAATCCTATTTCTGTCACCGTTTTCAACAGCTGCCTTTGTTTTGGGTTAATCTTTTTCATACACTTTCTGAGAACGATTTTTTTTGTTGACTCTTAGTCCCTCTCAGAAGAAATAATTGTCTATTTAGTCCAGGAAGGGTTCTGAGAGTTTTGGTAATTTAAAAATGAGCGTGCATTCATTATGGGAACTAATAAGTCATGTGTGCAGGGGGATCTTTGTGTGGGTGCAGTTATTAAAAGTTGGAATCTGATATCCATAAAGTGAAACAGGAAAAGATTCACGGAATGGGTTGGATTGGAAGGGACCTTAAAGTCCATCCATTCCCAGCCCCGTCCAACCTGGCCTTGGACACTTCCAGGGATGGGGCAGCCACAGCTTCTCTGCCCAACCTGTGCCAGGGCCGAGGTCTCCCTCAAAAGACCTGTTACTCATCACTTTTATTAAGTTTTAGTTCTGAGTTGTGTGATCTCTTGGGGGTTGTTGGAAGTGCTGTGGGATTGAAGTGCCTGTTCACCTGCAGATGGAAATCCTGTGATTGTCCCCAGTAAGTTAGAGGTGTAGGGAATCACAGATAAGATGTTGTGAGCCCTGTGCAGGCACGGGGCCTGACCCTGTGAACCCCTGCCCATCCAGAGAGGATGGCAAGGGAGGTGGTGGTTGGTTTTTTCACATTTCCAGTCTAACCAAGTGCCACAGATCTTTTTAGAAACCTGCGAATGCCTGCTGACACCTACAGATTGTTTTTTTTGTTGTTATAAACTGGAAATGCAGGGAGCTGGCTGGCCATGTGGTTTAATGAGACAAATGATTTTTTGACAGACCTGTCTTTAAGGCATATGGAGTGGGAAGAGAATGGGAAACTCGTTTCTGAGTCCAGGCGTGTAATGACTGCAGTGGATTTCCTTGCAGTGTTTGGCATATTAGGGCTAATCTCCTAAATTCCCCCTGCCCTCCACCCTGGCACGAGACCCCACACAAGTTGTGGGAGAAATCCTCAACTGCAGCCCTCGCTAATGACTTACTAATGACGAAGATGCTGCTGGTGCTCAGACAATTAATGACTTGGAGCCCTGGCCTGGCCATCTCCTGGCACCAGGCAGTCGGTCCCCGGCCACGTGTGGCTCCCAGCTCCGGGAACTGCTCCGGGAATCTCCCGGTGCAGCCTGCACCAGCATTCCTGGGATGCCAGGTTCAGGCACTTAACCACAAACATTTTAGTTCTAACTACGGGTCTGTTTAAGGTGGATTTAAATGGAGTAATTTAGAAGGCAAATGAAAGACTTGAGTTATGTAAAAAAATTCAGGCTGCTGCCTGCTCTAAGTGCAAAGCAAAGCAGTGTTCTGAGCCTGGCGTGCTGTCAGGTGATGTGTTATGCCTTGGAGAAGAGCTAGAAGCGATTCCTGGTGGGTTTCCCCCCAGTGAGAGGGTCTGAAGAGGGATGGGAGCATTCCCCATTGCTGCACATACTATGCACTCCTGCAGGAGCCATCCAGGAGCTGCTCAGACCTCACCCTGAAACGCTTCCCAGTGCTCAGTGCTGTAGCCTGCAAAGTGTCTGCTGCACCTGGAGGTTGCAGGAAACCTCTGTGCATTTTTAACACTTTCTACTGTGCCCCACTGAAGCAAATTCAGTGTGTGTTTAGCAGGATGCAGTTTTCAGTGCAGTTTGGGGGAGTGGAGTTCATCCTGTTATTCCATTTTTGAGATCTCATTAGCTTAATTTGTGTCGGTGTTGACTCATCAAGCCTCACGTAGCTCATGAGCATGGAGGTTTGTTCATTAGCTTGCTTTTTTTTTTCTCTGAAGGAAGGAGCAGGGAGCAGGACAGTGTGGAGCTGTGGTGGGCTGCCAGATTCCATCAGAGCAGCCCCAGCAGAGCACAGTGAACAGCTACAGGCAGGCAGCAGGCATCAAACAGCCTCAATCAGCCCCGACCCGTGGCTCTTTGAAGCACCAGCGGAGAAGAGAGGAACGATTAGATCAGAGGCCTTAAACGTAATGGGTTCCTGGAGGCCTCAGGATGTCCTGATGAGGTATTAGAGGAAGTAATTCAGGAAGAAAGGGACAAATAACCACCTCCGGAGCTGGGCTGACCCGCAGGGACGGGCGCTGTGTCGGAGCACGTGGAAACAAAGTGCTGCTGTGTGTTTGGGAAGCACCAGGGTTTTTTTTTTTCTACCAGGGGTAAATGAGGAATCATCTTCTGTCTTCCCGGATTTTTATGGTTTTTGGGTCGTGTAATGAGTCAGCTCTAATGGAGAAGTCCCGTGGAATTAAACAAGAGATGAAATCAATATGGTTCCATGGAAATATAATTGGGTTTTGTGGAGATTGCTCTTAAAAACCTATAAGGTGTAAAAGAAAATACGGCCTTATTGTAGTTTCTGAGCCATCATGTAACTGGAGTGTAACTATCCATTAAATTCTGCAGGATGGATCAAAAAATCCATAAGGAGGTTTTAATTCTCCATTAAATCCTATGGAAGAGCTGGAACAGAACAGTATTAATTTTCCCTGAGACAATGCTTCTTCCCTCCATTAGTCTGCAATAAGCTCAGGAACAGCTCCATAGGCAGCAGGTGTAGTCACACGTGCGTGTTGTTATGGAAGTTTTCCAAAGTCCCAATGGCTAAATAAAGCTTTATTAAAACGAAATTGTTAAGCTTAACTAACGTTTTCCTTCCCTCTTCCCCTTTTTGTGTCTTTATTAAATAGGATTTGGCTTCGTAACTTTTGAAAATGAAGACGTGGTGGAAAAAGTGTGTGAAATTCACTTCCACGAAATCAATAATAAAATGGTAAGTTGATGGTGCGAGTTCTCGCCTCGGCTCACAGACGTGAGCTGTGCCTGGGGGGTGGGTGGTGGCCCTCCGGGAGGTTGGTGGGGTGCTGGGCACGCTGTGTGTGGTAGAGGGGTGCTGGAAGAACAAAGGACTGAGGATGGTGGGAGTTGTTGACCTGCTCAGCTTCTCAAGCAGCCCTGGAGAAGCCTCCCTGCTCCTCCTCCTCCTCCTCCTCCTCCTCCTCCTGCCCACACGGTTGGAGCCGTGGCAGCTGCTGAGCGATGGCATTAGGGGGGTTTGGGAGGGAAGTGCCCTGGGGTGGCTGTGACAGCCCATGTGCTCCCAGAAGTGCTGTTCTGGCTGAGCTCCCGGCTCTGATCCTGCTCTGACGTGGCTGCTGGAGCGTGTCCCGGCTCTCTGCCGTGGAGCCCCAATCCCTTCACACCCAGACCTGACCCAGGAGCCAGACCTGGGGGAAGTTCCTCCTCAGTGACAGGCAGGTCCCAGGTTGTGGGTTGCCCTGTCAGTAAAGCCACTGAGCCAGATGAAAAGGGGCATTTGTATTTCAATTGCTGCAGTAACTTTGATATTTTCAGCTAAAATATTCTTTTTCCCTTTGTCAAAACATCCTTTGCTTCTCAAATGTGTATTCAGATATGCATTGTATATTGGTCTGATATGTGTTCACAGACTTTAAATTCAATAATAGAGCTTTTAGTGTGGATAAGATCAAAGCAATCTCCTTGGCATATGCTGGAGGCCTGATTCAATATTTGACTTGCTAATTTTTCCCAGGGCACTGAAATAATATTCCTCATATTGTTCCTCACTGCAATATGCATCTGAAATAAAAGCGAGGGTCCCCTTGGCCAGCTGTGGGGTAGGATGGTGGGGCAGGTCTGGGGCAGTGCTCCTGGTCCTGTGGGAAGCCTCTTGCTTTGCTTCAGGTGGGTGCTGTGGGCTTTGCCTCTGCCCTGGTCGAGCATCTTGCTGCCCATGAGCCCCTCCTGCCCTGGGGACTCCTGCCTGCCCCAACTGCTCCTCACCTCAGCTACCTGTGGGATGAGGGAAGGCTCGTTCCTCTC